AAAAAAAAATTTTTGTTTATGTATTTATATAAAATTGTGAAATGTAGTACAAAATTAACACTTACCGTTAGTGAAAATAAATAAAAATTAATTATAAATTCAATATATAATATTTTAAAAAGTTATATAAATATGAAAAATAAGCAACTAAAAACTCTTAGTATTTTAAAATAATACCAAAAATATGCAATTTAATTATCTTACATAGTATAAAATTTTCTTAAAATTAAGCATTATAAAATTCTTACATCATAAAACTTTACTATGTTGGCTAAGCACCTTGGTACCTTACATTTATAAGCATTTTCCGGGGTCCTAATAAAAATAAAGATCAAAAGAATGAAAAAAAGATCAAAGGAACAAAAAAAAGATCAAAAGAACAAAAAAAAAAGATCAAAGAAATGAAAATAAAATCAAAGGAATGAAAAAAAGATCAAAGGAACAAAAAAAAGATCAAAGGAACAAAAAAAAGATCAAAGGAACAAAAAAAAAAGATCAAAGGAATGAAAATAAAGATCAAAGGAATGAAAAAAAGATCAAAGGAACAAAAATAAGGGAAAAGAAGATTAAAGAAATGTAAATAAAGATTAAAGGAATGAAAGAAAAGCAAAAGGGATTAAAGAAGTAAAAAAAAAAGAAAAGCACTGGTCAAAAACCAATATATCGGGTAGCAGATATGTATCAGATATGTACCCGATATGTGTAGTATTAATGCAGAAAATCGGGTACCCGATATGTATATGATATGTAAATGATATGTATATATTTACACATATCTTACACATATCGGGTACCCGATTTTCTGCATTAATACTACACATATTGGGTACATATCTGATACATATCTGCTACCCGATATATTGGTTTTTGACCAGTGAAGAGAAAAAAGAAACAAAAGAAAGAAAAGGGAATGAAAGAAAAATAAAGAAATAGGGGAACAAGGAATAATGATGTGAAAATAAATAAAGCCCAAATTAAAATAAATGAATCAAAACCCAAACATAAAGAAAAATCCAACCAAAAGAAAGAAGCGATGACCAAAATGATAAGAACCTGAAATAAAAACCAAACTTAAAATTAAGGTGTATACTAAAGGGTAAATATTTTATTAATTAAATTTTTCACGCATGTTTCTATATTAAAATTCAGGTCTAATTACAGGTCTATATATACATAAATTTCCAAACTAAAAATGTTTAACATATGCTACATATTCTATATATACTATATGTTCCATATATACTACATGTTTTATATATCCCATATATGCTACATGTTCTATATATTCTATATATTCTATATATCAGACATACACAGGTCGAAAGCTAAAAAATCGGGCATATACCCTATTGGTAACTATTAAACTAATAGGTTAGCCAAAAATTAGTAATCAATAGGGCATATACCCAATTGATAACTATATAAAAATTTAGGCTAACCGGATTGAAAGGATTTATTAATTTAAATAAATTAGGTAATTATTCAATAGTCATCATTTGGTTTATTACTATATGTGAAACTGAATCCAATAGGAATAAACCGATTGGTAACTATAAATTAATCCATTGGTCTATAATACCATACATATATATTACATTATTTTACCGAATTTATAATATTTGACAATACATTTGATATGAATATTCACTAAGTATACTTGGCAAGTATAAAATAAAATAACTGATTTATTACAATTTATTAATAATAGAAATTATAAATGGAACTTCCTATTAATCGGTACTACTGCCATATAAGTTTTCGCCTTCCGTCTGCTGTTATTGTTATTGTTATTTGTTCAGATTGTAAAATTAGTAGGAATAAACTGGCTATAAATATTATGAATTGGAATTATACTATCACGAGACATTTCATAAAATTCATTAAGTTTCCAGAGTTCAATATTAACACTGCGGTCATCGTCCTGTTCAGCTCGGCAGTAAAATCTAATTCGATGATCATTAACCGGTAGGTACCATTTGACGTAAGCAAGTTTGTGCATTCTTTCACCAATAGTTAGAAGTCGCAATACATGCTCGAAATAAAATTGCACCATTCCTGGGTATAATTCTATCAATTCGTTATCTTGGGTAAATTTTGCTAAAATATAAGAATTTTTCTTATATCGAGGTGCTAGCACGGATCCAAAAATTTCAGCTGCCACTCGAATTCTTCAGCATTGATTAATTATTGGTTGAACAACTACATACGAATCATTCTGTAAACCTCGACTGATCAGATTTGACATGGAGCCAAATTCAACATCCATCTTTTCACCATAAACTTCATTATAATAAGTAATCAACTGTTCATACAAATTGTCGGGTAAATCAACACGGTTTTTAATTGGACTTAATAAATTGCCCAGATAAATTTCACTGCCAGTGATCGTATCTTCTAATTCGCTGCAGAAAATCCGTTTGAACTGCACCAATTCTTCTGATCTGAGGTCATCATATGCCGCTAATGAACCAGTTGTTTGCCGAGGTTCAATTAACTTAAGACCATTAACAAGCTTCTAATTGCCCGATTGAATAGATATAAGATCATTGATTCTGCAATTCTGCACAATAATTCTTAGCAATTCCGGTTCAATATATCGTTTTGAATTGGGATAGGAACCTAAAGGGCAAATTTATGATATATTAATTAAAATCCGAGACATTCATTGTTAAAATATTTACCTAAGATCCCATTCATTCGTTCAAATGAATAACACCAAAAAGAGTATATTGGACCATAGTCACGACAGCATTCGGCTATATGCAAAGAAAGGTGTATATTTGGTGTAATTAAATTTTCACCATAATGTTCTTCAATGAGTTGACCAATTTTGAGTAATCTGTTATGGGCCTCATTTATTCATTGGTATTAATGATTCGGCAAACCAACAACACTGGTCAAAATTAATACTATCGGGTACCTATCGGGTACCTGATATGTGTACAATATATGTGATATATGTGTATGATATTTAACAATGCTACACATATCAGGTACCCGATATGTGTAGTAGAAATGTAGAAAAACGGTAACACATAATGTACATATCACATATACATCTTACACATATCGGGTAGTTAAATATCGGTCACATATCATAGACTTATTGGGTACCCGATATATTATGATATATATCATAAAGA